CCCCTCCCCCTCCCCCTCCCCCTACCCCTACCGAAAACCAAACCTTGCTACCCATTGTCTCCTCGCCGTCGTTGCTACCATCTTCTCCGTTACCACATGGAACTTAAATGAAAAATCAAACTCAAAATCGAACTCTTTAATTTGGAAAAGTAGATCCATCTCAACCTACAATCCTACAACCATCAAGCCGAAGAAGAGGGTAATTGGTTTTTATTGAAAAGCGATGAAGAAGCTGAGTTGGAAGACCACATTAGCAACCAATACAGTCAGCAAGGAACACATCGACATCATTCTAAATTAATTCTAGAAGAAGGCGTGGAAGGATCTAGTAGCTAAATCAGTTTTTCTACTCATCATTCTCTATTTTTCTGTTTTGGTTTGCTGCTCCACTCACTAGGGAATATTCTTTAGTTATAGGATTGATAATTGTGTATATATACGTCCATTATTGTACCTTAAGATTAAGTGGAAATATACAATACAAATTCCCTCAAATTATCCCTCAAATATATCCTAAAATCAATTATATTTGAAGTTACTTTCACTTTGCTGTTTCTGAAATGGTATCAGAGCTTGAAATGGAGGAATCAAATGTTGGCAATGCAAGCACAAGACAAGCACAAAATGAAAATCCAAATGCAATTGGTAGCTCAAACATCGTTTACCATGATCCTACTCAACCAAGCAGCCCATACTTCATTGGAAGCAATGATGGTACTGGTGCTGTTTTAGTAACTCAAACACCAGATGCCAGCAACTATTACTCGTGGGCTCGATCCATAGAAAGGGCACTACGCATCAAAAACAAATTGGGATTTATAGATGGAAGCATATGTGAACCAGAAGATCCAAATGATCCAATCATGGAGCATTGGTTGCGGTGCAATGATATTGTCATCACCTGGATGCAGAACATAATGGCTGTGGATATAAAACATAGCACCACCTATGCTGAAACGACTCACCAGCTTTGGATTAAGCTGGAGCAACGTTTTGCCCAGCAAAATGCACCTAGGATCTTCGAGGTTAAGCAGGCCATAACCATGCTGCTGCAAAATCAAGATCCTGTGAATGCCTATTTCTCCAAACTTAAGGCACTCCTAGATGAACAGATGAACTATGAAGTGATACCTAGCTGTAGCTGTGGAGGGTTGAAAATTGTGGTCCAAAATCAGCAAAGGGACTGGGTGATGAAATTCCTGATGGGGCTCAATGATTCTTACAAAGGAATCAAGGTACAAATCCTACTAATCAAGCCTTTTCCAAGCCTAAATGAGGTCTATTCGATCATACAGCAGGAAGAAAAAAGGAGACAAATTTCAACTGAAAAAGGTGGACTTGAACCTATGGCTCTCATCTCTAAGAGAAGCTATAGAGAATCTGGGAAACAAACTTTCCCAGCACAAAGAAGAGAAAGTAATTATTGCACATTCTGTAAAATTCCAGGACATTCCTTTGAAAGATGTTTCAAGGCTAATCCAGCTAAATCAGTCTGTTCTTATTGTCGAGTTCCTGGCCATATTGCTAATAAATGTTTAAAACTGCACAGATACCCACCAAGCCAGAAGTTTGAAAGAAAGACGAGGCCTCTAGCAAATTAGTCCATTGCATCCCTGCCAGCTGCATAGGAAGTGGTGAATCCCAAGTCTCAGGTGTCATTAAGTCAGGAACAATATTCCCAACTCATGGCACTTCTCAAGCCAACCACAGAACCTCAATACCCCTTCTACTCAGTAAACAATGTTCAGTGTACTAGAACTCCCTACCCCTCTGATGAAAGCATACATCAACTTTCTGGTACATCCTTATGTATGTCTGTTTTAGAATCAAAGTTTTCTAACATTTCAAAAATTCCCTGGATCCTAGACACATGAGCTACTGACCATATGATTTGTTCAATCTCATTGTTTTCCTCTATTCAGGCACAAGTCTCCTATTTAGTAGCCTTACCAAATGATAACAAGGTTCCTATCACACATATATGGACAGTAAATGTTACAGAAACTCCAACACTTCATGATGTTCTTTGTGTGCCCAACTTTTCATACAATCTGATTTCTGCCAAGAAATTGACTCAAACCCTTAACTATTGTCTGATTTTCTTCTCTCAATTTTGTTATATCTAGGACCTTTCAGTTGGAAGACGATTGGCATGAGTGAAGTCAATGAGGGACTCTATCATATGAAGCTTGATAAAATCTCTCATTTAGCTCTAATGGATCATCCCATCTGTTTAAACAATCAACCTTTCACTTATGTTTCAGCTTCAGTTAATAATAACACTCAAACTTTTGATGTTTTGCATTATAGATTAGGGCATTCCTCTTATTCTATTTCCAATGTTAATGGTGGTGTTCAATTTTCAAAAACTTCCAATGATAGACACTGTTCTATATGTCCTCTAGCTAAGCTACAAAAACTTATGTTCCTTACAAGCACACACAAAGCTAAAAGATACTTCGAATTAATACATTGTGATATCTGGGTGCCCTGCAATGAAACTGAAAGTGATGGATCCAAGTATTTCTTGACCATCGTGGATGACTTCAGTAGGAGTACTTGGGCATACATGTTAAAGCTAAAATCTGAAGCCACTATTGCACTTCAAAATTTTTGCACTTTGGTAGAAACACAATTTGAAACCAAGGTTAAAGTCATTCAAAGTGACAATGAGGGTGAACTCAATATGAGGGACTTCTTTCTTAAAAGGGGGATCATACATCATAGAACCTGTGTTGAAACACCACAACAGAATGCTGTGGTTGAGAGGAAGCATCAGCATATTCTTAATACAGCTAGGGCCTTAAGATTTCAAAGTGGAATCCCTCTCAAATACTGGAATTACTGTGTCCTAACTGCTGTTTACTTCATTAATAGGACACCATCTCGCATTTTAAAAGACAAAAGCCCTTTTCAAATTCTTTTTGACAAAAAGCCAGACTACTTGCAGCTCAAAGTCTTTAGCTGTCTAGCATTTGCTACCACCATCGTTAATGGGAGACACAAGTTTGACCCTAGAGCAAGGAGATGTGCTTTTATAGGCTATCTTTTTGGTGTCAAAGGATATATCGTGCTGGATATTGAAACTAAGAAGATAATTATGTCCAAGAATGTGACTTTCTATGAGACCATTTTCCCTTTTAAAACTGAAAATCCCACCAGCAAAAATCAAGTGCAATTCAATCAAAATAATGACATCCTCACAGATGTCATCCTCACAGATGTCATTCTTCCTCAAAATCTTGTTTTTCATAATGAAATTAGCCTGGCAACACCAACACAAAATATCAGCTATGATCCACCAGAATCTGAATCCCAGAACACATATTTTAAATGGTGCTACACAAACTCTTGACCACAATGAGCCTCAACCAGAGCCTACAGATGAATCTTATAATGCTTCTAATCCATCATCAGACATCATTCCTGCCACTCACTTGCCTCGTAGGTTTACTAGAACTTAGAACTCGAAAGGCATCAACTCACCTACAAGACTTCATATGTCAGCAAGCTGTCTGCCTTCACCCATCTCAAGAGTTAAACAAACTGAAGGGACTAAACTCCACAGGTAAGCAATATCCCCTTAACGCTGCTATTTCATATGAAAAATTGCCAACCTCATATAAAACCTTTGTCACCTC